AACTAACATAAGGGAGAGAGGTTTTGTTTTCCATTGGCAATAATATCTGTCTGTCTAAATGTGTTGGTGTTAAAATCAGTAGTCTGGAAGTATTATTGAGGAAAAAGGATTGTAAAAGACAAGCATTTAGTTGATACCTAGCTGTCCTAAATTATTTAGATGCTCATAATTTTTGCTGCTGACGGTATAGATATGCTTAGTAGGAGAGAACAAAATCTGAAAGAAAAAAAATCATCTTGCTATCATAGCAGACCTTTATTAATAAGGAGAAAACAAAGTATTTAGCAATAAGCAGAGACTCGCAGCTTAACACAGAATCAATGCTCATTAACAAATCAGATTTTGAAAGGGTTGAAAATTTCAAAATATTGTAATGCTATTATAGTATTATGCTATCCAACATTTTATTTCGCGCTTAGCCATGTAACAAAACACAGAAGCTGTAGAATTGCAAATCCAGCAAATGCCAAGGATAATTAGTTCTTTTAAAGAGTTTTATGACAATGGTGAAAAGAGATATAATGAGATGGTTGGATCATTTGGGGAGACCATTCTTGAATATAGTGCAAAAAATAAAGAGGTGCACGATGTAAATTGAGAATTAGCTTGCTAAATGGCATTAAAACTGTCTAATACTGTCAGAAACAGTATTTAGAGATGATACAAAATAACATTTCCGATAATCCAAAATATTTTTGGTCTTATATTAAAAGCAAAAGAAATGGGTATAATATACCATCCAGAATGGTCTATAAGGATAGGGTTGGCTTAAATATGAAGGACTCTGCCAATATGTTCGCAGAATATTTCTCATCAGTCTACTCAGATGAACAAAAAGATACTTTACCTTTTCTTAATTTTGACAGTTCTATTTGTTTGAGTTCTATAATACTTACGGCAACTGAGGTCTATGATACTATTACAAGTTGTAAAAACAGATTATGTGCAGTGCCGGATGGAATCCCAGCCTATTTTCTGAAAAAATGTATATGTGTACTTACAAAACCAATTTTGTTTATTTTAACAGATCACTTGGTACTGGTAGCTTTCCCAGTCTCTGGAAGAAAAGTTTTTTAAAGCCGATTTTTAAATCGGGGGCAAGGAATGATATATCAAACTATCGAGCTGTCTGTAATCAGTCGGAGCTGCCCAAGTTGCTTGATTGTTTGGTTAGTAAGAAACTGACATGGAGTTATAGAGGCATTTTTATTCCTGAACAATTTGGCTTTATGAAAGGGAGGTCAATAGATACCAACCTGGTTTTGTATGTCAATCATATATACAACAGCTTTGAAGAGGGGTGCCAGGTTGACTTAATCTATACTGACTTTTCCAAAGCATTTGATCGGGTAAACCATGGGGTCCTCTTGCAAAAACTAAGAGCTTTGGGTATTTTCTATCCCTTCTTCAGTGGATTACAGAATTTGTTAGTGACCGTACGCAGACAGTTAACTTGGGAAGTGACACTTCAATTGAAATAACAGTTCCATCAGGCGTACCACAAGGCTCCCATTGTGACCGTGTTTTGTTTTGATTGTTTCTAGTTGATTTAGTACAACAAATAAAAATTGTAGTGTTTCTTATGTTTGCTGACGATGTAAAACTGTTTTAAAAAATTAAATCCTGGAATGATGCTGTTATATTACAGGAAGATCTTAAATCGTTTTATGATTGGTGCACTTTAAACAAAATGTCACTCAATATAAACAAATGTCATAAAATGACATTCTCGAGGCCAAGAAATCCAATTACATTTGTTTACTACATAAATAACTTGCCATTAGCCTCGAAAAATGAAGTATTAGATTTGGGAATTTAGTTAGACACCAAACTGTCATTCTCAAGCCACATTAACCAAGTAACAAACAGAGCGATGAAAGTGCTGGGATTTATCCAACGCACATCTGTGGATCTTTTTTTATTTACATTTAGAAGACTTTATTGTGGTCTCGTTTGGCCCATTCTTGATTTTGGATCAGTTGTATGGTCTCCATCATACCACTGTTACATTCAACAGATTGAAAGAGTCCAGAATAAATTTTTGAGGGTAGCAGCCTATAAGAGTGGATACAGGAGAGAGGAATACGACTATCAGTGGGTAAGAGATAGTCTCAACTTACCAACACTTGAGTCAAGGAGGACATTGTTAGATTTATGTTTCTTACACAAAGTTATCAATGCTTTTATAGATTGTCCTCAACTCTTATCGCTTGTTAGTCTTAAAGTTCCTAGTAGAAGCAACAGACAATCAGAAATCTTTTCGGTGCCATTTCACCACACTAATTATGGTATCAATGAACCAACTACACGATTGGTCCGGAGTGCTAATAGCTTGCCAAGACAAATAGATATTTTTGACTCCAAAATTAGTTTGTTTAAAAAACAACTAAAAAATATCTTTGAGGGTATACAAGGCAACTATCGAACACGGTGATTAATTTAATCTTGCCCAAGTACTTTCGATCAATAGATCATCTTCAGGGCATTTCGTCAATTGTGGCCTATCCGACATAGTAGAATGTCATAAATGTAAAATCTGGACATAACAATACAAAATACACTACACTAAGACAAACAAACACTTTAAAATTTATATGGAGAAGCTACATATTGTGAAGAAGCCGGAGACAGAATGGGCTCCCGGTCTGACGGAAATGTAGAGATGACGTGTTCGATAGTTGCCTTGTATACCCTCAAAGTTTAATTATTCGAACATTCAACCTTATATTAAAAAATATCTTACAATAAGTTGGTTGTACATCTGTATTATTCTTATATGTTTGTATTATTCTGAGGTGTTTGTTATTTTAATAATATATTGTTTTTAAGATGTAACTTTGTAAAAATTGTAAGTAAATGGATGCCGTATATAAATAAATAAATAAATAAATAAAACTATATCAATGAGCGGGTGGTAAGACCATAACAACGTTAATTTCAGAAACGAGACTAGAGGAGCGTGGTTCAGGAAGCCCGGGCTATAAAAATACGTAGCCACTTGCTCCATATTTCACGATGCAATTTTTGCATCTATTGTTTTTATAAATGAAACATCGAAGCATACCTGATCATACTTATGATATGATAATAGATATGAAAATACTTATCGGACATTTTACGGAGCATATTATATAATTTTTGCACAATAAAATCATAAAAATACTGTCTCTGTCGAGTTATCTATTATTCACCACGTAGCCGTGGCCTTCAAGCAGCAATAAATGTTTTATTATCTCTAATTGGTCCTAGAACATAGAAATTAATTAATTTAATTAATAAAAACTTCCGTGATTCATTATTTATTTTATTAATTGTTTCAATGCATTTATTTGCGCAATAATAAAAAAATCCTTTGACATGCAGCAATTATCTAGAGGTAAATATTTTAATTAAATTTTTATGTTTGGAGCCGATAGGTATTTTTTTAACACGATAATTTATTAGATTTGCATGTATAACGAGAGCCAAAGTCACCTTTTCGTGTTTCTTTTCCAGAAACACGAAATCTAAAAATAATATTTCAGCCTTAATTGACTTTTAAAACGCTCGAAACAGTCGCCAAAACAGTTCACTAATAGCGCGACGGACTAACTTATTGAATATTAGCATTCAACCAAATACCTACAAATTGTATAGAACAAAAAAAATGTATTGATTTACTGGTCTCATTTTTAGCGAGCACGAAGAACAAAGAGATTCATCAGACTCACCTTTATTACAGTTTTGTTTTTCTTTACTATTATACCCAGTGGAATTAGTAAACTATACTGATAACGTATTAGATCTACAAGCTGTTGGGAAATCATACTTTAGACTTGTAACTACCCAGAATATGCATATGATTCCATAGATCGCTTAAAACTGTGGAGTGCAAGGATGGAGTTAGGCGTACCAAAGAAGCTGACCATGATTGCGCGAATGTGTGTCAACAATTCCTTTGCACAAATTAGAATAGGAGGCAAAACTTCAAAGGCTTTCGGCATAAGCACCGGGCTTAGACAGGGAGACCCGATGTCCCCATTACTATTTACGATAATACTGGAATACGCAATGCGAAAAATCTATACCAGAGTCAAACCAGACATAACTGCCAGAGGAGCAAAGATTATTCTCGCATTTGCAGATGATGTAGATGCAGTAGCACAGACAACACTGGAAGTTAAGGATATAGTATCGAACTTTAAAGAAGCAACACTAAGCGTAGGCCTGAAAATAAACGAAGAAAAAACTAAATACATGGTCGTATCAAAAAAGGAACGACAGCGAATAAGACAAAACATTACCATAAACGATCATAATTTTGAGGTGGTCAAAGAATTCAAATACCTAGAAGCAACAATTACCAGTGAAAACACAGGAGAACGGGAGGTTGAAATACAAAAACTGGCGGGGAATAAATTATTCTTTGCCATTCAACATCTAATGAGGTCAAAGCTTCTCTCAGGGCGTGCCAAAATCCAAATGTACAAAGCCATAATACGACCAGCAGTGACATATGGAAGTGAAACATGGACATTGAGAAAGAAAGAAATCAATAAGCTATTAGTATGGCAACGCAAAATCCTGCGAATTATATATGGTCCTTGCAGGGACAGCGTGACAAATGAATGGAGGAGCAGATGCAACAATGAAATAGAGACTCTCTTCGGGAAAGGAAACATCGTAAGATACACAAAAGCCAATAGATTAAGATGGGCAGGCCACGTGGTACGGAGTGATGACGACAGACTGACTAGCAATGTGTTTTGGGAAAGACCAGATGGTAGAAGATCGACAGGAAGGCCTAGAAAAAGGTGGAAAGACGCGGTCAGGGAAGACCTGGACAAGATGGAAGTAAGGCCATGGGAAATAATAGCACAGGATCGGAATCAATGGAAGGCAATAGTAAACGCGGCAAAACTCACGAAGAGTTGTAAAAGCCAATGATGATGATGATGATGAACTACCCAGAATATGTCAAAAAATACTTTGAGTTGATTACATATGTATTATTAAACCTACTATTTAGCTGGAACCTCGATAACTCGAGGTTTATCAATGTTACGAGCAGTTCTGTTGCCTTTCCCAACAATACCAATAATCCATGCTTGATAATCTTCTTGTTTCTCCATATCTTTCATATAGGCAGCAGCTTGTCTACGGGGTAAACATATTACTAGTCCTTCAGAAGTTTTAGCTGAATGCACTTGCAATAACTGGAACATATTTCCACATTCTTTAGCAATTGTAGCCATTTTTGTAATGACAGGTAAATTGTGAATGACAAACGATAATTCATTTTTCTGGGGAGAGGCCAATATTTGAGCATGGCCAAGTAGAACAAAACCTGTAAAATCAGTAGCTCAATGGGCAACAATCAATGGGCGTTGACTTGCCACTAAAGGTTTTGTTAAGACTAAGATATCTCTAACTAGTGCATTATCTGGAACAATGTGTTTGGCTGGCAAACAGCAGTTGCCACTCTACCAATAGTATTCTACTTGTTTAAGGAATTTGACAGTGTTTCTTCATTCATCGGCCCAGACAATCTTATCAAACACATGCCGAAAAAAGATGGCCTGTAATCTGCTTAATATGTTTGAGTTACATACTTATTTATTTCACTTTCAATTTTACGATTTTTTTCCATCTGCAATTGCCTTCTTTGATATGCGTATGAATCTTATCTTTGCTATTCCTATTACCTACATTGTTTTTATTAGTTCATGCAGATATTGAGAGACATCATAATGGTAATAAGAATGGGCGACAAACATAAAAATATGACAAGGTAGTGAAGGAAAGTTTGTAGGGAACTTTGAATTAGGTACCTGAAATTTTAAAAGAGAGATACTGGGACAGTATTGTCAAGAAAAGGACGTAATTACAAAGAGCTAATTCAAACTTTCTCCTAGAATATTGTATACATGGAAGTCTCCGGCAGATTAGCCAAACAGTATTATAAGTAGACGTTTACTTAAATATGCAAAAAAAAAGTCATTCTCAATAGGTGTCCAAACCGTTTTATACCTCTTCTTTCTATTCTGTTAATGACTGTTTCTATAGTATTCATGTTATTTTTTATAGATTCGTTGGTCTTCCTTTCCAGCCTTGATGTTCCAGCACGTCTTCCCAAATAATCAATTTCAACTGCCAACAATCTTCTCTTCAGGTCTGCATTAATTGTCCATATTTCAGAGTTATAACAAAGAACTAATTTAACCATGGTTTGTCGATTGCCTATTCTATTTTTGTTCCTTTTGGAAATGTTGCGATCCCACCATAAGGAGTTCAGACATCCCACAATTTTACGTCCCTGATTAATTCGGTGTTTAATTTCGGTTTCTTCCAAGCCGTTCTTATCTATGAGTGCCTCTAAATATTTTAATTTTTCTACTTGTTTGATTTCCACGTTCTGGTCTATCATCATTTCAAACCTTGCATCTGAATTGATAACTAAATATATTGTTTTCTTCATGCTGACTTGTAACCCGCATTTTACATATTCTCTGTAGAGACGCTTTATCATACATTCTAGATCATAAGAATCTTGAGCTAGGATGACTTGGTTATCCGCAAAGTTTAGGGAGAACAGTACGTCATTTGTCTTAGTCCTTTAGTTACTTTTATTGGCTCTGATAGTCTATTTCCGATTTTTTAGGTAAGTAGTGTTATTCCTGTATACTTCTGTGGATTATTCCTAAAAGGTATGGACTAATGAGTAGTTTTAAAGCTTGCCACAATTTAAGTTTTGGAGCTGTACCATACGCCTATATATAGGTCGATGAAGGCTAGATGTACTTCGGTACCAACCGTTATCCTTTTTTCTATTTTATTATATTTTATTATATTGTTGGAGTATAAACAAGTTCTCAGTGCAAGATCTACCAGGTGTAAATCCACTTTGGTCTTCGCTAATTAGATGTCCAAACAATCTTCCGAAAGTAGGTAGGACACTTAATCCTCTGTAGCAGTTAGGATCTTTTCGATTACCCTTTTTAAAGATGGACACTTGGTGAACGGTTTTTCATTCAGATGGTACTTTAATTTGTTGGCAGATTTAATTCATTAGAAAGTTATTCGTTCTAATAGGAGTGGACCTCCTGCTTTAAGTAACTCTACAGCTATATTGCCAGACTCTGGAGATCGTCCGTATTTCATTTTAATTAACGCAGTATGGACCTCGTTGTTAGTAGTATTAATGTTACTATTTGTTTGTCTCTTCATACTGTATTCCTCTCTCATATATTTCAATCTGAACTCTTGAAGTAAATTTTTATAGTGGTTTTCTCTCTTTTCTATAGCAATTAATTTGCATAAGTAAAAAGTAATGAGTTATGGGTGTTTTTCTTTAGATTATTGACAGTTCTCCATGCTTCCGTAGTCTGAGAACCACCAATTAAATTTTCAACTTGGACACATTTTGGTTCCCAGAAATTGTTTTTTGCTTCTTTTCTTTGATTGCGTACTTCCCGTTTTCCTTTGGTATATTAATTATGAAAACAATATTATGAAAAAAAAATGTCAAAATTTGTCAATAAAAACTTATTGCTTCTATCTGTGTACATATATTTTGCAAATAAATTGAGAAACTTCTTTCTACATCAACGAATGTAATAAGAGCATCTTTTAAATTCACAAAAATTATTTGGTTCTAAATCTATTTCTTTGCAAAAATTACCCACAAGAACGTCAGCTAGTTCAAAGTTACCGAAAACAATTGTTTTTTTTAATTATTGTTTAAAATTTAAGAAAATATTATTTCTAGTGTCACTTTTACCATTTTGTCAAGCTGATCTAATTTGTTTTATTAAGGGTATGCTTTCTACCAACGACAACTTTGATGATTATAATTGAATAATAGTTTTTTGAAGTAAAGTAACATTTGATTTAATTAATGAAAGTTTCTGCTAAAGAACGTTGTTTTTAAAAATTTGTTTAGCATCTAGCAGAGAATCAGAAGTTTCATCCGTTAAAGCGTCAATTACATTAGTTAAATCTACGAAATAGTCTGATTAGAAACAAGCGGCTTCCAACCATGTTCCCTATTGTGTTAGAATGGTGTTTGGAAAGTGGAATATTTCGAAGCATTTCTTTATAAAGTTGAATTCTTATAGGAGATTTGAGGATATTTTTATGCTTGATATCAGGGATAAAAGAAATTTTTTTTCTAATTTCTTCCGCAACTCTGTTCATTCCATATGCTAAACAAGGAAAGTGTATTGGTTTAAAATGTTTTCAAATTTTGTTCTGCCTTAACCATATTATATGGTGCAGCATCGAAAAAAAAAAAAACAATAATTTATGGCTAGAAACAACTACAGGAAGAAAAAATTTTAATATCTCTTCTTGAATAAAAGTGATATTGTTGCAGAGTTAATTTTTTTTAATTACTTGCATTAAATTAAATAAGATTTTGGTAAGATCTGATTGCTTAGAACACCGAAGATTAAATGGGAGATATATCTTCCTGACTACTCAGTGGTTTCGTCAGCACACACGTAGAAGTTACTGTCACTAATATTACTTTTTGTATTATCTGTTACTGATGAGTACAGTTACTTGTTAATAGCAACGGTTGCTATCAACAGGTCCTCGTAGATACTTTGTCTCAGTACCAGCAACCTCCATGTTTACGTTGCCATATTATCAATTTCAAATTGTAACTTAAACATCATAGCATATAAGATCAAATAATCTAACTTAAATTCAAATTAAAAACATTTAGCAGGTTTTTACCCAAATTCATGCCGTATTCTCCACTATATTTTAATGCCGCCTGTCTCGTTTACCAAAGCTCATTGTATGATTTCTTCAGAACAAGCATTAAATAATAACGGCGACAGTATGCAACCTTGCCTGACCCCTCTCCGTATCTCCACTTCTTCTGACACTTCTCTTCCAATTTTCATATTTGATCGTTGACTGTAGTATAAATTTGATATCGATGTTACATCCCTCACATCCAGATTCTTGTTTTTGAGTACTTCTATAAGTCGGTCATGTTTTACTTTATCGAATGCCTTGTTGTAGTCTATAAAGCATACATAAAGATCTCGATTAACATCCATACATCTTTGGGTCAGCACGTTAAAAGAAAATAGTGCCTCTCTTGTGCCCACTCCATTCCGAAATCCAAACTGGGAATCACTAATATCCATCTCCAGCTTAGCGTGTATTCTATTATTGATGATTTTTAGAGTTTTTAAGGTATGTGATATTATATTGATCGTTCGATAATCACTACATTCTTTGGCATTTACTTTCTTTGGTAGACAAATAAATATTGATGTCAGCATTTCACGTGGAATGATTCCTGTGGAATAGATTGTGTTCAGTAGTTGGACTAAAAGATCTATGTTTTTTCATTGACTCGTTTTAGGAATTTCACTTGGTAGTTAATCTGGACCAGCAGCTTTATTTTTCATGGACTTTACTGCATGCATAACTTATGACTTTGTTATTTCGGGTCCCTCGTCTTTACATATAGATAGTAATTGATGGCCTTTCAAAAATCAAAATTGACGTGATTTAATTTTTGTTTATTTAATTGTTTGTTTCTGAAAATAATGACTTTGAGTATGAATTACATACTTTTGCATCATACTATACAAGTTACTTTGAAACAATGGACTAACTTACTCAAAACACCAAAATAAAAACATTTAAATATAGCGTTACAAAAATTATCAATTTTAAGCAAAAAATAGTTACATTTTGAAAGGTGTATCGGTAATCTTTCTACAAGTGCTATACAATTAAGAGTGGTTAATAAAAGAGTTCACTAACATAATTCTCATTTACATTTCAAACATACATTGTTGTTCATCAACCTTGAGCGCCGCTGTGATCGCCATAATCACATTAGGACTATATGATCCTATTTTATCCTCGTTATGTATTTTTATGGCACCCTAGATTGACAGAAAAACAAGAGTCCCGCGGTGGCGCTGGGACTGCGGCTTGGCCTGTATCGTTTCAGCGCGGCAGATATTTAACCGTATGCGTGATCGAAGCAGGCAGGTGTCAGGTAAATTGCTTGACCCGACCACAAGCTAACTTTGTTGTAGAGATGGGTGTTACAGGATATTTTCGAAATCCATAAGCAGTGATTTAGCAATGATGAATGTTTATTAGCAACATTGTATAGACTAATAAAATATGACCTCACATGATGACTAGATCTTTTAAACCTTTTCTACTGTATTTACGTTTATCAATTTCTTTGTACAGACTACAACATTCCGAGTCTTCT